ATCGGTTAACCGATGACTTTCGAAAAACACCGGGAAAACATCGTTCATGCAATCGGCCCTTAAAATCTGCGTTTGGAAAGAAGTAGTTACCTCTCATGTTCATTCAGCACAAATCGACAAGATTTTGTGCTGAATGAACACTATCTAAATCAATGTGGAGATATTGCAAGGTTTGAGTGATATCCAGTAAGATAGAAGGGGAAAAGCTTTCATCTGGCATTGATTTTGTGTTGTGGCACTTCAGAAGATTCTCCGCAATGAACATATCATTCGCCTTGGAGATTTTATTGAAAAATCTCTCTAGAAATGGAGATATTCTGGATGGTATCCAACTGTCTATGGAAACTAGTGAGAGCAATATGAACATTTTTCATCGGGCAGATCACGTTTATGCATCTTTTCCTATGAAATCACGGCAGCAATTTAATTTGTTGAGACTTCATGACGATGACGTCATCTATATTCGACATCAACGTGGCAGTGTTTTAGCGAAAATACCGTAAATTCCAATAATTCAGTACTGATTATACAATTCAATGCATGCGATCCTGCGAGGGATTCTTCAAAAAAGAAATATCCCCTGACATTGAAACGTGTTGCTGCTGAGAAAAGGATTTTGAGAAGAAACCAGCGTATTCTTGCTATAAGACGCATACGCAGTGGAAGCCGAAAGGAGCTGGGGATGAGAAATACCCAAAAATAAAAAATAAAATTTTTTTTTCTCCTTTTTATCTTTATCGCCTGAGTAAAAATGAAGAAAAGCGGAGGGAAAATGAAATCTGAAAGTAAAAGATGTTTGCTGCAAAGCAGGAATGTATGTCTCCGTTTAACAAGCTCTTATCCTCAAATGCGAATTCGTGAAGGTAGACGTGATGCATGACTTAGAAGTAGACTTGGAAAGGTGAAGAAATGCAATTTAGGTAAAACCAGAGGGCGACGTCTGATAGGAGTAACTTCGTGAAAGGACGATCATGGTGATACAAATTTAAAGTTGAAGAACACCAGAAACACGATGAGCGACGATCCAAAAGAAAGACTCCGTGATTCGAATGTGTGCGGGGAAGTGCATGGTAAACCTTGTTGTCTGAAGGGAAGGTCTACCATGCTACTATTATGATCTATAGCATTGACCTATTCGTTCGAGACCTGTGATGTCTTAGCTTATTCACCCAAGCCTATCGTAGGAATAACCTCATTTCTTTCCCTTTACGTAAATCCCACAGAGAATACTCTTTAGAGAAAGGAAGGAGCAACGCCCTGCAGGCGGATGCGACTGGAACGTTCGCCCAGATGCACCGTCCTCTGGCGATTGTGAGGAAAGGCTGCTGCCACAGAACCCAGTTCAGGAAGGCCACCCCAGACCAGACACAAACTCTGGATCTCTCGCTCCACAATCACCCTCTACGTCGACCGCTACTAATATCCCACAACATCTAATACGAACGGAGATCAAACCGCAAACATCGACTGAAAGTGAGTTGTGTGGTGCAATTGGAATGATATGACAATGGTAGGAAAGTTAAAGGTGGGTAAGGCGACCAGTCCCGATCGGATTCCTGCTCGAGTCATCGAGGAACTCGCGAGAGAAATATCGGTTCGGCAAAGAATCATATTTAAAAGTAGCTTTTCGCGCGGTGAGGTACCTAAGGACTGGAGGCTAGCGAATGTCGTACCGATCATTAAGTAGGGCGAAAAGAGTAATCCGGGGAATTATAGGCTGGTAAGTCTCACAAGTATTCCAGGGAAGATCATGAAGAGCATCCCGAGGAACTACATCTTGGATCTCCTCGAAGGTAACGCACTCATCCGGGTCTCTCAGCACGGCATTTGAAGTCGTCGAAATTGTCTCACCAATTTCCCCGAATTCTACGACGGAACAGAGAGATGAGGGAATCCCGTGGACATCGTCTATTTAGATTTCGCGAAAGCTTTCGATATCGTTCCTCACAAGAGGTTGAGGGTTAAGCTGAAGGCGCACGCGATCCAGGATAGGACGAGCGAGTGTTTCAGTAACTGGTTGACGGGAAGAGAGCAACGAGTAATGGTAAATGGGGAAGCGTCGATGGAGGTCGGGCGAGCAAGCGGTGTCCCTCAGGACGAGGTCCGAGGACCGCTTCTGCTTTTGGTCTACATTAACGATTTAGATCTAGGCGCAGAGCGTAAGATTAGTAAATTTACCAAATTTACGACGACACCAAAATAGGTAGGATGGAGTCAGGATCGAGCGAGATTTGAGGCTTTTGGATGAGTGGAGCAAGAAAAGGCTCATGAGGTTTAATAATAGTAGGTGTAAAGTCCTCCACGTCGGGCAAAGTAGGACTCTCAACGCGTTTAGCGTAGATAAACTAAGGGAGGCAAACGGAGAGAGGTTTAGGGGTTTCTATCGACGAAGACCCCAATTTTTCTTCGCAGGCGCAAACGACAGTGGTTAAATTTAACAGAATTCATCCGTCGTTCAGTTACCAGCAAGAATTCGAGCGTTATTCTTCAATTGTATACGGTGCTGTAAGACCCCAGTTGAAATATTGCATCCAGTTTTGGAGACCGACGAATAAGGGTGAATTGATGGCGCTCGAGGGAGTGCAGAGGAGAGCCACAAGAGTGATGAAGGTTTGGGGACTCCCGTACGAGAATCGTTTAGAACAGGGGTGTCAAACATACGGCCCGCGGGCCGGATCCGGCCCGCGGAGGTGGTTCATCCGGCCCGCCGTTTGTTTTAGAAATTTCTGCTTGGATGAATTTCTGCTTGGATAGACTGTCACCACAAATTTCAGTGGAAAATTATGGGTGCGGCCCGCAGGCATCTTCAGGGTAAGGAACGCGGCCCTCCTACCGATTTGAGTTTGACACCCCTGGTTTAGAAGGATTGGGACTGTACTCGCTCGAGAGAAGGATAAGGAGAGGCGATCTCACCCAGGCTTTCAAGATAATTAAAGGAATATATAATATAGAGCGTGGTAAGTTCTTCCAGTTTGATGGCAGCAAGAGATCGAGAGGTAATCATCTCAAGTTGAGTAGACCTCAGGTACGGCTCGGGTCGAAACAGGACTTCTTTATTTGTAAGGTGGTGAACGCGTGGAATGCGTTAGATGACGACGTAGTGGCTGCCCCTTCTGTGACTATATCTAAGAAGAGGCTAGATGCTTTTATGAACAAAGCAAATACAGGGTGATTTTTTTATTCATGGGACCATGATAAATATTTATAATCTTGGAACAAATAGAGTTAGATGCATGAAATTTCACATCACGAATCCTTAAACGTGGGAAAGTGCTGGGAAACCTAGGAGTACCTAAAGGACAAAGTCTTCGAGTCAAGGCTAAACCCATGCACGTTTGGAGACTCGAAGGCGGGCACAGAGCGTGAAGTCTTCTCCATTTGTCGGGATACTCTGCAGGCAGTTGTGCAGAATTACACCACATCCCTACGACCGGTGATTGCGCACAAAGGAGGACATATTGAACATGTTTTTTCATAGAGTATAACTTTCCCATGTTTATGGATTCTTGATGCGGAATTTCATGCATCTAACTCTATTTGTTCCAAGATTAATAATGGACCCATGAATAAAAAATCACCCTGTAGGAGATTACGTGTATGTAAGTGAAAGGGGCTAGACGGCAAGCGTCTAGGATATGCGAAAAAAGTATAAAAATACATGAAATATTCAGGTTTAAGAGAAGTAGGCCTATCCTAAAATTAAGGAACACTCGTCCTCGACACGTGGTGTCCATATGGCATTATCGCCTCCTGAAACGACCATCCAACCTTGAATCTTGACATCCCGAGGCGAAGGAAACCTCAGTGGTCAGATTGATCCCTAGATGGGGAAAATGGTAGATTCCATACAACCGATACCACAGCCTTTTCGAAACGGGTCAGACAAGCGAAGGTCCAAAGTAGTCCAGACATACGGAGACGTCAGCTGCCTCAAGACGAGAAGACCAATTACGAACGATAGGGTTGATCTCGTCACATCAACGAGCATGGATTCATGGTGGAAAGCCCCTCAGATATGAAGCATGGTCTACCGTAGAAAGCCCAATTTATGGAATATTTTTCACAAAGGACATGGACGAAACATGAGTATCCTTGGCCCCTTAAATTGCGGGCTTAACAGTCTTCAAATAATGTTACTGCTTAGGGTTGAATATCGATAATAATTTTCCATAATAATTTAAAAAATATAGTAACCCTATTACGTCATTTCATAAACTTATATTTTGGAGTGCTACACGGACAGCCAGATCCACTCATCGAGTGTTGGAATACGTTCGTGCCGGCCTAAATATTAACTTCCTCATTTTCTTATATAGTGAACATTATAAAACTAGAGTATCGCCCAGGTCTGCCATCCCACTGGCCCCTACACCACTGGAATTGCCTTCTTCGACGCATCCTAACCATCCAGCTTTTAAATAAATTATAGTTGTCATTCGTTCGTCATAAGCTTATATGAAAGTTCCGAAAACTAGACAAACTTTTCGATAGTTTGCATGTCCCGATCGCGTGTGAAAAGAGAATGAAGTGTAGGATGCCAGATGAGGCATTTCACGCCTGCACCCAGCAACCTTTCTACGCGGCTACGATCAGCCCCTCTCTCCCCATTTGCAATTTGTCACGGGATCACTCGGGAATGTGTAGTTCATTTTGAGACCTTCCTAAAATGAGTATTTATTTCTAAGAAGAAAAATTCTTATGTATAAGATTTTTAGAACTCCTGCGTGGTATGTTCACGAAATTAAGGAAGTAGAGAAAAGCACGAGACTCATTCAGTCGATTCAGTCGTGGCAACAACGATCATCTTCGTGATAACATATGTGACACAGATGCCTCCAAGCATCGTGAAGGACCAGAGAAGCCGCCAGACGAAGATTCGCACGCTGCCGAACCGGGAGAAACTCCATCCCAGCTGGAGGCGGGGGGCAGCGGGTGCAGGGAGAGCCCCCCAATTAACGAACTGGTACGTCACTAGATCATCATCTAGTAGCTTTTTTTCTTCGGTGGAACGTTGCTTTCCCTCAGCCTGGCAGTCCACGACTTAATTCCCGTGCAATATATTTAGAGTTCATTTTTACTGCTTACTTACTTTTACTGGCTTACTACGAGAAGCCCAATATACTCTGCTGGCACAAAAACGTTCATCTCATTCGGTATGTACTCGCACGTCCACCGAATTCCATTTTGAAGCGTGAATCCTCGACTTCAAAATACTGTAATACCTTATCTGGCTGGGTTACGAACATATTGTGAGTGCAATTGAGAAATAATGCTTGGAAATCCTATATATCCAGAGGGAGAGAAAAGGGGATGCCCAATATAATGTTATTTTGGCCCTTAAACCGAATTCAATGAATCATATAAAATCTCGTTAACTCGAATCCTGATAAGTCGAAATTCTGTTTATCTCGAAGTTCAATGCTTGGTCCCGGCCGAATCCCGTAAGACACTTGGTTAAATTTTAAATTTTCCGTTTAACTCGAATTCGCTTATCTCGAATTCCCGGATATCTCGAACGACATTTTCACTCCCGATTACGGTTAACGGTTAACTCGAAATCGGGGTGTGAAGGGGGAAAAAATTATTGTGGGACCTATCGATTTGTTGAATAAGTGAAAGGCAAGAAATATGTTCAAGAGAAAATCTTTGTGTTCCTTTTTTTCTGTTTCTCCCTCCTCCCTGAGACGCTCGTGGAGAGGATTAAATCTGAGGATTAAAACCGAAAAGCTTCTGTTTTAAAAAAAGAGCAACCTGTAGCACTTCCCCTGTCTCTCTATCGCTCTCCCTTTCGGCCATTCCATTCATATTTGGCTTCCGGAGTACCGGATGAAGAGCGTTGTGTTGAATGAATTTTGCATATGAAGTATCAAAGTTTCCTTAGACATGAATAAAAACCAATTATAATGAGGTCATCTCTCCTTAAAATCGGATTCTTAAGGACGGAAAAATGGCCCTCTTATAACCTTTAAAGTGAGTTTTTTTCCGGTAGAGGCAATTCCTGATAAGTCGAACTTCGAATAACTCAAAACGATTTGCCCGGTCCCAAAAAGTTCGAGTTAACGAGTTTTTATTGTGTATCATTTGAAAGGAGGGTCCTTTGCAGAGTAATAAAATATCACTTTTACTCTAATCTGAAGGGTTTGAAAAAGTTAGGTTAGATTAGGTTACGATGAAGTTATTTTGCATGAGTTTTTCATCAGGACACACTTCAAAGAGTTTTGAGGGAAGGGACTTCAGACTATCAAGAAAAAAATTAAAATACAATTGGATTGTACTTTTAAAATCGTGTAATGTATCTTCGCATCAGTAACTTTTATATCATGAATCATACTTTCAAACCTTTTTGTTGTATTTTCCAATTCCCCGCTAAATTTCACTGATAACTTCCAAAATGATGCTCCTAAGTTTTGGCGATACGGAACGCATTTATTGGAAGTCTCATTTGAAAACAGTAAAACAATTTAACTTGACCGAACCTGACCTAACCTAACCTACCTTTCTTAAATTCTTCATATTTGGATAAAAATGGTAACTTTCATGTTCACTAGCGAAACCGATTACATAAATATTAATTTAATCAAAACTGGTTTAACCCTTATACGCTCAGCGCGCCGATCCATCGGCGCGTCAGGTAATGGCCAGAACACTCAGGCAGCCGATCTATCGGCTCCGCCTAAATCATGCTCATTTAGTTATATAAATGGCTCAAAGGTTGTTTTTGTTGTGTCGTTACATAAATGGCTCAAAATGCTTCCCTAAACACAGGTGCTAACTGCAAAAGGTACGTATGCATTGTTTTACATAATGTGATGTAGTTCCGGACAAGAGAGCTCTACATGCATAAAACTTATATCTAAATTTACAGAAAAATATTCTCTTTCTTACAGGCTTGGTGACAAGAAAAGAGGACCAAAAAGACAATTTTATATTTTGCCTAAATTATGTAAATTTTACATTTCTATATTTAATTCTTTCAGTTTTTATTTTTATTTTCAAATTATTTATAGTGTTAGCACTTGTAGGCTATTTTTGTTTAAATCTGCTGTTTATAGTGAATAAGTGTGATTTTTTCATATGTCTTTGACCAAAATTGTATTTTTGGTGAATTTTTGAAGTGAGATTTGTAAATTGAGCCAAATTCGCCTGAGTGTTTTAGGCCAGGTACTTGGAAAATAGGTTGAGTGCGAAAGGGTTAAGACCAAAAATGTGCCAGCGTCGCCAAGCAAAAAAGCAGCGTCAGCCAGGTCAGAACCTGGATGGGAGACATCGGAACATGGAGCTGCTTGCCTAAGACGGTGCTGGGCACTTAGCCGATAAGGGGCGGATGAGACTCTTGACAGTCCAACGGCCGTGGTGGCCCATGGATCAGAGGATCACCATGTGCACCCAGTGCAACAGGTAGCTGTAGCCTTGCGCCTCACCTGCCAGATCCTCACACTCATGCAAGCATGATGCCACAATTAAGGAAAATTCATACTGGCTCGGCCGTCGCCCAGGATAAAAAGGGCCGCGCTGGCTGTAGGTCTACCGGTGCAGTCTGTGAAAAGTTGGCGTCCGGAGACTCTCACGTTCCTGTTCCTCAGACATGAATAAGAAAGACCAAGCTGTCCAGCAAAAATGAGATCTCTGCCCTCAACAGCCTTGCCACCCCTGTCCTCAACTACAGCTTCGGAGTTATCGATTGGTCACCTACGGAACTCCAAGCCATCGATCGAGCGACCAGAAAACTCCTGACCATGCATCACACCCACCATCCGAAGGCTGCCGTCGAAAGACTCTACCTTCCGAGATGCAAGGGAGGGAGGGGACTCATCGAACTCGAGTCCCTCTATAAGCGGACGACGTGCGAAGTCGCCAGATTCATCGAAAGGAAACAGGGACGGCTCATTTCCATCCTGAGAGAGCGCGATGCCGTCAAGAAATTCCACTTCTCATTTCCATCCTGAGAGAGCGCGATGCCCTCAAGAAATCCCACTCCATCCAGGGAGATGCCACCCGCTTTCGAAATGCACTCCATCTCGATGACGACTGCGACACGAGTGATGTGAAGACGGCAGATCGAGGACAAAGAGAAGCAAGATGGAAGGAGAATCCGCTTCACGGCCGGCATCCCAAGATCGTGGATAAACCATCGATCGACTCGGACGTAAGCTATAACTGGCTGAAGAAGGGACTGCTCAATGCCGAGACGGAGAGCAACATCCTAGCCATTCGGGACCAGTGCATTAGAACTCGTACCTACGAGAAGCACGTCCTGAAGCTGGATGCGGAAGACCGCTGTAGATGCTGTCATGGACCACCCGAAACGGTTCACCACCTCCTCGGTGCCTGCCCCGAACTAGCCCCGAGGGAGTACTTGTATAGTTCGGACGTCAGCTATAACTGGCTGAAGAAGGGACTGCTGAATGCCGAGACAGAGAGCAACGTCCTAGCCATTCAGGACCAGTGCATTAGAACTCGTAACTACGAGAAGCACATCCTGAAGCTGGATTTGGAAGTCCGCTTCAGATGCTGTCATGGACCCCCCTAAACGGTTCACCACCTCCTTAGTGCCTGCCCCGAACTAGCCCTGAGGGAGTACTTGTACAGGCACGACCAGGTATGCAAATATGTACACTGGTGTGTCTCCAAGCAAGCCGGCCTGGAGGTCCTAGTGAAGTGGTACGAACACCAGCCAGAGTCTGTTGTGGAGAACTCCTCCACCAAGATACTATGGGACATGCCTATAATTGCAAACCGCACTATAGGACGTGCTGATAGCAAGGCATTAGAGACTTCAGGTCATAAGCGTGGCGTGGATGACACAGGACATAAGGACCCTGTACATTATCATTGCAACGCAACAATTAAGTAAGGAGAAATGATCGTGAGGTATTGCAAGCAAGAATGCATGGAAACGATATTGTGCCACATGTTAGACAAGGAAGAGATACATGTGCTTCCAAAAATACAGGGTGGGCCAAAAATAACAAAGCTGTCATTTTTGGTGAGTCGTCAATCTCTTAGTCTCAGGCCGATTCTGATTAAAATTGGGAGGCTTATAGGGTGACACAATTTAAGCATGTATGCCCAGTTTCAGCCTTCTGGCTCTAAAATTCAAGGAGCTGTAGTTATTTTCTGATGAGCAACGACAAAATATGCTATCGAAAATATCAATATTAACTTGAGGCCGGGATGAAAGGGAAGACCGAATTCATGACCTTCCATCCCTGCATGATGTTACAAAGGAAGATTGGGAGGCACTGCCTCAAAGGTTTATTAACCGAGCCATTGATCTGTGGTGTTCCAGACTAGAGGCTTGTGTTCAACAGAATGGAGGACACTTTGGGCACCTTTTCAGTTGAAATGAACGTCCCTAAACCCAATTAAGTGCTTTCGTTTTTGGCATTTGTGCTTTTTTTCTTTGTTTGCTTGTTTGTTTTTGTCAGTTGTGAAGAATTATAATCTGAAAGAAAAAATTAACACTTACTTTTTTGGTGATGAAAAGTAAATTAAAAGCCAATCTCACCGTTTTTGGAATTTTTATTTGAAACTTGGCACACAAACCCTAATATGTGTCTACCCAATTTCATCAGAATCGGCAACCTACAATCACATTGACAACTTATCAAAAATTTTGCTTGTTTTAGCCCACCCATATCAAAACCAAGGGGATAACCTGAGCTCAACTTGACCCGCGTGACAACCTTGACCTCCCATTCCCTCTCCTTTGCCCTATCTGATGAGGTCCCACTTTAAGCACCTTGTTTAATCCCCCTCTTCCTCTGTCGGCTCTCTTCTTCGACCTCATCCATCAGTTCTGTTGTTCAGTAGCAAGAGCTTTTTTATTTTTTATTTAAAGCAGGGATTGAATTTTATTACTCAGAACAAGCAAGAGCTCCGGGATGGGAGCGCATCACCAGTCCGACTAAAATAGCCCTATCAATGCGGATATTTCACTGAAAATTTGTGAAAATCATGAAAAGCGCTGCATTGTTAGTGACTCGCTGAAGCAGTTTCATCACATTTTATTCGTTTTCCCCAAATTTGCTGTACTGTATTAGTTCTTTTAATTATTGCCCCTGAAAATTGTTTCCAGATACCTATTTCAAAAAAAGACAGAGCAGCCATTACACCCGTGGTGGAATCGGAGAGAAGGCAGACAGGAGCGTGGAAAACTTTCGAGTGTATTCCTTGCGGGGAGGCGTTCGCAAGTTGTGGCGATCAAAAACGCCACGCTTACGAACGACACAGGGATACGACGAACGGCCACCCCTGCCTCACGTGCGAGGAATGGTTCCCTCGACCGAGCTTCCTCGAACGTCACCGTCCCATGTGTCCGCAGATACTCATTCAAGAAGGAAAGCTGTTGGACGAGGAGCGGCGGTCTCTGCAATGCAGCCAATGCCGTAAAACGTTCACGGCATATGAAAACCTGATCATGCACAAAAAAAAATCCTCCCATTTTTATGGAGAAAATTCGAATTCGGCGCCGTCAGCTCAGCCGACCCTGACCCCGCCGCCCAGATCTGTCAACACCGCACGCAAGAGTTCCATGGGACTCGCCTGTATTTACTGCCGAAAGGTGAAGGTATCGATCAAAGGGCGCTTACGCCATGAAGAACACTGCAGCAAAAAGTACGTCATCAATGGTGTGATCTCGGAGGATGAGGCTCGCTCTATGGCCTGCTGCGTTTGCAGGAAGATATACAGCAACTGCAAGGATCTCATCAATCATAAGACCGTTTCCCATCGCCACAGGAAGATCACGTCGAAAGCATCGTCGAAGTCGTTCTGAAATCGGAGAAATCCTGAATGGAGCTGGTGAAAATAGAGAAAATGATGAAAAGGGGGCAAACCGAAAGGTCACAAAGCACCCTTCGTTCCTTCAGGTGTGCTCACTGGATAAACTTTTGTAATCACTGCCACTTTTATCTTTCGCTCAAGTAACTGTTATGCAGTATGTTGATCGCAGATGTACTATATATTTCCTGAAAACTAAATAGCAACGTTTATTCACGATTATGGCCAAATACCCAGTATTTCAGCACTCGAATGCAACATTTTTTCAAATGAAAAAGTAGATTTGTTTTGAAACTTAAAATTAAAATGGAGCGGAGAATTTAGGCCATGCTGCTATCTTCCTGTAAAACTTGTTGGCTCTTCATGCTTTCACCATTTGATGCATCAAAGTTGTTCAGCGTATCAACTATCGCCAAAAAATTACTCTTTTTCAGCGATGTAAACCAATTGTAGAAGATGGGGGGAAATATGAAGAAACGCTACTTTTCCAAATTTTCTGGGCGTGGAGGCAAAGAGTACCTTTTCCTTCCCCCTCGCTTTTCTCAGGTGCCTAATCTTTAAATAGCAGGTCAAATAGAATTCCCCCATTTCTCAGGGTTTAGAAGGAATTTTGATGCTGGTTAAAGGCATGACACGGAAGACAGTTCCGAGTCCTCAATTTTTTTACGTATTGGCGTCTCGACCTTCCAATCAATAGACTTTGGCAACACACATTACATTTCTTCAACCCCTTCCGGCGACAAAATTCAACCGTCTCGTATCCCTCTCTGAGAGCATCAACAGGAACGAAATTTGGCATACTTCTTCCTCTCTCAACACAGAATCGCTTCAACAAATTTGAAGCTCCATCTCCCTGGGCTTGTCGAGATCACTGAATCTCGCTTTTCGGAGGTGTGAATTTCATTCCGTTATTTCTTTTCTACCCCTCTGGGTAGTTTTCGGAGGAAAGGAACCAACCAAACGAAAGATGTCGATTTGTAGGTGACAAAAAATGTCTTTTTTTGCTTCCAGTGCACCATTTCGCCATAAAAATTACATGAGATTTCCGATGAAGGAAAAAATGCAGGTATTTTCCAGTGTCTTTTGATAAAGGAGGAATTTTGCTATAATCATGTCATAAATATACTGTATATAAACTCATCTGACACTTTACGAGGTGTCCTCCTTCACGCAATAGGGAGATAAGAGATGATATATACGATATATATATACGATATACAGTATATATATATATATACGATATACAGTATATATATATATATATATACGATATAGTGAAAAGGAAATACCAATGGTGCCTGTCCCACCCAAACCAATCTAGGCAATGGGGGAATGCATCCCACTACAATTAAAAATTCCTTAGATACGAAGCCTCCTGTTTTATGCCCATTGCATTGGCTGATGTACGCTGATGAGTCCACTTCGTACTTGAATAATAATAATAATAATAATAGAATACATATTAAAGCCCGCCTGCATAGGGGGGGAGTAGATCTCCATCGGGACTACGTTCCCATGGTCACAATGGTGCCAGTCCCACCCAGACCGATCTAGGCATGGGGGAAGGAACCCCGCTCCCGAACCGAAACCTGACAGAGATTGTCCGAGCTATGGGAGATTAGCCTGCAGAGAAGGGGCGAGGCTGAAGGAAGCTAAAAGAGGAAGGACAGTGAAGAAAAATATCCTAGAAACTGTCATGCAGCCTGCGTCGTCAGGGGGTTGAGGCTGCAAGCCTAGCACGACATCCTATCCAGACCGTTTCTGCCGTNCTCTTCGTTCTCCCAGCTAGACTACAACTACATCTCTTCGGTCAGCTGCCCCAACAGAGACCCCTTTTTTACCATACCTCGAAGTGCCTAGGACCGGCCTATCTTCTCTGCGGCCCAACACCTCCCTATATTTTATGTCTTTCCCTTCTCGCCATACCCTCCCGGGGTAAAGAGCCCAGTTGCCTTATCGGCCGGACTCTCCCCCTAATGCTGTCAAGTTAGGGGATATGCCCTTGTGATTCTCTTTTATCTTGTGATCTCAAACTTTTATAGCCTTTTTTATAGAAAGTAATTTTAATATATTCTGAAAGAGTCTAATTTTTATACATCTTAAAAGAGAGTAAATTTAGAGTTATTTATGGGCATTTTTATCTCTATTTATTTGAACTGTGTATAAAGGGCCTATGATCCTTTAGTGAAGGGTTCCATACGAACCCCAGGCCGAGTAACTTGGACACTCTATCTGCCAGATATTCCAGGGATCGGAGCCTACACCCTCTCAGCTCCCACTAGTGCTCCTACCATTACATTCTGGCCAAATTGGCACTATCCTTTGGCAAAGCTAATTAGGAATACACATAAACAAGAGCTACACTTTGCCTCGAGGCACATTGAGCTAAAGCTGCCTAACCCAACCCCGACGACCTGGATGAGTTAATTCTTCGGATTGAATCAAAAGCTATGGGAAAGAGCCCAATCACTGGTATAGTATTCCTGCACCGGTTCTGTGTTGCAGTCACTTCAGTGCTGCAAGGGTCGCACATCCGAGCTGTTTACAGGTCGAGTTACGGGAATATCCATGAATCTTTTCCAAAAGGATGCAAGACCATTTCCTTCAGGAGCGTATTTAATGAGATCGTACTTGGATTGTTGCGAATAAAGTTTAAATGGTCTTTTAAGGAAATCTCCTTCGTAACCATTATCCAGGAGCCTCTGGTGTAAGAGCCAGCTGTTAAAGAGGAAACTGTCCGCCTCAGAGCAAATATCTGCATATATTATATACATATATCTTATCTCTTATCTTATATACGACATATATATACTATATATATGTATATGATAAGAGATAATATATTATATAGCTTAAACGTGACAACGCCAATGTAGCTGTTGGTGAATTGGTCGCGTTGCTTCTCCCGGATTCACCCTACCGCTGAAATGTATGCCAACCAGAAGGGGGCAACGTTGATGCTGCAGCAGGAGAACATAATCCGGATGTTTCCGGAATGGCAGACGGAAACTCGAATTTTTCCCCCAGAGGTCAAGTTGAAAGACTGGGTTGATGCCTCCAGTGACGCAGACGAAAAGACGACTCATTCCCTTGCCCGGATTATCCACCGTTTTGGGAAAGACTCGCAGCAGCCTATGTATATCACATGTGGAATTGGATTCGAACTGAAGCAGCGGTATCTCCAAGGAGGCTCGAGAAGATTTCTTTCCGGTGAGCACCAAGTTTTGATCATACATCGAGGCTTGGGAATCATGACGATTCGGGTAATCCAGGCGGAGAAGGAAACCTTGAAGAACCGCGTGGAAAAGGTGAGACATGAGCTGAATAAGGCAAGTGAGCACTTGAAAGAAGCGGTAGAGGAAAACGAGGTGAAGCTGGGAACTTTGAACCATATGACGAAAGGCGGATTTGACAAAGAGGAGCTACATCTGGTGTCCTTCCCATTCCACCATCGCATCTTGGCTGTGTGGGGGGTGACCAGGGATGTATTCATCGCCTCGGGCGCATCTCCGCATGCCAAAGTCATCTTTCAAGAGGACTGGAGAGATTCAGATGCCTTTAAACATTGGTGGGATGAAAACATTTCCCTTTCTCCTGCTCATACCCCTCAAGAATCTGCTCTTCCTGAACCACATCTGCTTTCCCCACATATCTATCTCCAGTTACTTGCTATGTGAGTGAATATGTCTAACGCTTATTCCATTAAGGGACTTTTTTTTGCATAGAAAGGAAATTGGACAAAGCTAGTAATTTGAATCTATCGGAATTCCTGGAGCAAAATGTCTTTGTGAAGCCTCTTCATTAAAGATAAAAAAAGGATGACCATTTTCATTTTCCGCTTAATCTCATCCCACGATGAAACTGGTGCCATTCGATAGAGCACCTCAGGTAGTGAATAAGTTTAAATGGCCACACCGTGATTCGAAGTTACCCTGATCCGTTGGATGCAAAAAACTCGGGTAATATGAGATGGCCGATTTCGACATATAAGGTGTTTAAATCTACTAAATCGAACCCATAGAATTGAATAATAACAGTCTTTCAAGCGTATTTTTTACCAGCCACAGTCTCGGAAAGATATCACAGCCAGCTTTGTAAAGAAGAGAAAGCCAATAACTAAGATTTAAAAAACTTGAGCAGACGATAAATGATAGTACAGTAAAATCGAGAATATTCTATAAATTCAGGAAAATACAATTAAAAACCGAATAAATCACTGTATAAATAAGTTAAAATGCTATATCAATCTGGTGTATACGATATATATACATACGTAGATATACAACTCGGACACACCTTTGGCGCTCAGTGATCAGAGGAAATTCTTATGCATTTAAAGCATCCGTTTTCGAAGCTCACCCCTAATGATGCGGTCAAACTCTTTGGTTAATGGGTTTGGCGATTCTCGCGCCTTCGGCGCTCGCACCCTAAAATAAAAGTTGTTACAGAAAATATCAATAGTGACGTCATTTGACTTTCAGCTTGAGGATCACCAGGTAAAAATTTACAGAGCGTTGTTTAGTGTTCCTATTGTGAATTTAATTCCTGCCTATTGTCGCTACTCACTCCTTTGCGCATAAATCCCCAAAATATATCATACCAGACATGTAAGCTCAATATTTCAATATTTCAGCGTCTTAAGGCAATAATTATTTGTAGACTATGAAAACTGGTGGGACGCGATTAGGCAAAATCCCATAGGATTTCACCATCCTGCTTTTAAGTATTTCCCATCCTGTTGCATGCATTGGCAAACATTTTTAAGCCCAACTTGTAAAAATAATAGAAAAATAATTAACTCAGGCAAACATCGAATATATCAGTCTCAGGAAGGAAACTGCATCAGCACCCACCAAATTTAATATTCGATACTACATGCTTCCCAGAAACATGAATCGAATCTCTTCACCCCTGTCCCGTCAGAATGTTACCAGTCTGATATCCTGCCTCCTTTTGAACAAATTCACTTTCATGTGAGATTTCCTGTCTATATAA